ACATAGAATAACTGTCTACACGATGATGCTGATAGAGTTGACATGCTAGTGCTGATGTTGATCTTCATGTTGGCGCTGATAGATAGCATGTAGAGTGTTTGACTCATCAAATCATAAGGTGTAACATTATAATCTCCCTTTATCTGATGATGTCAAAACTAATCTTCTTCTTCAGACTCATTAGAAGAACCATTGTAGAATTTGTCAGCTTCTTTCAATATCTCAAGCTTAACCCATCTGAATTCATCAATTTTAAGTTCTTCCAATATTTTACTAAGCTCCAGAGAGATCATCACATGATATCCTCTTTTCAGTTCAAAATGACAGAGTCCTTCCATGAGAAGATGCATTCTTTCCTTGAACAAAGTCTTCTATGTTGGTAACATGATCATCTACTTCAATCTCAATGTCTTCTTCTTCATTACCAGTGCTTTCCTCATCATTATCATCCACATAATCCTCTTCTTCAAATTCAGAGGATTCAACCACATATGCGTTTTCAATCCATTTTTGCATCCTTACAGTAATATAAAAATCATCTTCAGTAGGAGCAGTGTTGATGATTTTTTAAGAGAAGGCATGAATGGGAATGGAGATCCCATGATTTTCAAAATAACCTTCATCACGTGCCAAGATTAATCCAAGCCAACAGGGATAGGGAGCTAGCTTCTTGTTTCCAATGATGCAATCAATCACCGGATCAAGAAAAAGTTGAGCAAAATCCAATCTTTTAATATACACAACTGAGAACAAAATCCTTTGCTCAAAGAAATTTAGTTCATCCAAGCTCCCAATCTTGTGTCCAAGGCAGTTGCCAATAACCCCTGTTAAGTACTTCCATCCTACACCAAAACACCGACAGATAGTGTATTTGTATGAATCATGAGAGGCGTCCTGAAGATTAAAATTATACCTTAACCTTTCATGAACGGACTTGCATTTTTCTTCCGAGGGAGTTTCAAAGTAATTTTCTAATTGAGGAAGATGAAGAGCAGTTTGAAAAGATTCCATATTAATAGTAACCCTATATTGAACATCTACAATAGTTCTAGTAATTGTTTGATCATCAGAATCAGAAGAGCATGAATAGTAGAACTCACATACTTGTTTAGGGTAGAATGAACATTGGAAGTTGCAGAAGGCATATCGAATAGGGAAGCTTTTAACATAATCAATGAAATCTTCGATTCTCGAGTTCGTGAACTGCTGTGAGATCTCATCAGAGAACGCCATATTGTTTGCTTGAATGATGATTAGAGAATCAGGGGCATAAGGACCTTTGACAACATCAACATTAGGGGACAACTCGTAGAAAGGCTTTGGCATGGTGAGAGCTCTGAGGAAGATGAAGGTTGAGAAAGCCTTTTTCGAGAGAGAAATCCAATTGCTTGAATAACTTGTAAAAGTGACTTAGGATGGAGAATTCCCAATTTATACCAAAAAGTTTCTTCCCTTTTATGTAATCATGATTGAAGAGATATATGCCGTAAAAATCTCATATCACAAGATATTGATAAACCTTTTAATATCCATCCTAAAAGTTACCATTTAGATAAGGAAATTTCATTAGTGAGATATAGCATCAACGAAAATGATCATCAGTGGAAGCATTCAACGTATCAAAATTGCAGCTTGTAAATCAGTAAGTTTGTGATGTCTCCTAATAGTGTGTACTTAAGCTACCACTCACTGAGATAGTATTGCGAGATCTCATCAGCATGTGGTTTCATATGTTGAATCATTATTCACTTTTATTAGAAGAAAAGAGCAACAGTGGTATGATGCGTGTACTACATTCCGGTATGAAATGTACCCATAGGCAAAGTCGAAGTTTTATCAGCGTACAACTAATACAGTGAATCATTAACTTCTTATTAGAAGAATTGTTGGGAAAAATGGGTAGGTGCATGTAATATATCAAGGAAAATGATATACCCATCGGCTTAGATTTTTCAAATTTTCATCGGCGTGAGGTTTCATATTCTGAATCATAAAATTCTAAAGAAGAATATATGGAGAGAATGGATTAATGTATGTGATAAGCAATGGTTTTTTAGCTTAGCCATCAACATAGATTTTTCAAGCTCTCATCAGCGTATGGTACATTACGCTAAATCATAAGACTTTAAAGAAGAAAGTAAGGAGATAACAGATTACTTCGGTCATGGTAAGTTGGAATCTGCGTGAATCATCAACAGTAATAACTCATTAGCAAGAAATGGTTCAATCCTTGCATCATAGAATTAGCTGCAGTCTAGAATCAAAGATTCACCATCGATTCATTATGGTACCATGTCATACCTCTGACTAGGAGGTTAGGGACATGAATAACCCTTTTTCATTTGAGGACCAGACAAGTAACTCTTACATTGATAACTATGTAATCAGGTTAAGCCATTGTGTTATGCTTAATGTTTCAGCAGAACATGAACCTTGATGCATAAAACAAAGAATGCTTCCAAGGACAGAGTCAGGTAAGATAGTTAACTAAGAATAAACAACACCAGTTTTTATTTGGACCATGCAATCTCACTTAGAAAGTTTAGACAATGCTAGAAAATCAGCATGAAGGGTTGACTCAATGTTCTCAGTAGATGGTCTCGCTGATGAGACACTTAGAGAGATTTAGTCACATACTGCAACATGCTTCTAAGGGCGATAATTTGTTAAAAGTTACATACTTGGCTTATGAACTGCCACCGTCAAATCCTTTTTTTTAAATGTTACAAAATAATAATATAAAAATATAAGATTACAAACAAAAGAGTTGGTTAAACAAGAAAATATTCTAAAAGAGATATTTTTGCAGCTTTTTCAGAAGCATGATAAAGACTCGATCCATAAACTCTTTTGGATTAAATGGCCATAAATGAGCTTCCATTTTCCGAGATATCTACTCTACGACACTCTCTATTAAAGAGAGAAAACAAGATCAACCACATCAAACATAAATACAATTCATATTAAATAAAGAGAGAGAATGTCTTTAATCATTGAGGTTTTGCAGATTGATTGCAACCTTCATGTTCACCAAGAATGAAGGAAGATCATGAACTAGTCTTTGTAACCAACGAGTTAATAGGATCCAATCTTTGTAACCTTTAAGTTATAAGAGTCACCAAGACCAAACTCGAATGTTCCACTCGTTGTGAATCGCCGTCCTTAGGACGGCTTAAAGAATTGTTGTGTCCAAAGATATTAAAAGGTTTTTTTTAACGTTTTAGATTATTTTTAGCCTAATTATTCGGTCCATTTTGTGAGTATTCGTATGATGATTTGGCTTTAATTGCTTAACCATTAAATTTTAGACTTGATGTCCATAAGTTATTGTTAACTCAATGTAAAGTGATTATCAGAATTTAAAGTAGCATAAATAAAATCATTATTTTATAGCATCACATGTGATTTTCATTATTTATTATAAAACATAATCACTTTTAGAAAATGAACACCTTACTCTTATCCCATTTTACTGGTAAAGTTCAACACGATATCTAAACGTTACCCTCGTCCATGTTACCACTGGGTCATCCTTAGGACGGCTTAAAGAATTGCAGTGTCCAAAGATATTAAAATGTGTTTTTTAATGTTTTTGATTATTTTTAACCTAATTATTCGGTTCATTTGGTGAGTATTTTTCCCAAGATTTGGCTTTAATTGCTTAACCTTTAAAGTTTGGACTTGAGGTCCATAAGTTTGTGTTAACTTAATATAAAGTGATTATCAGAACTTAAAGTAGCATAAATAAAACCATTATTTTATAGCACCACATATATTATTCGTTATTTACAATAAAACATAATCAATTTCAGAAAATGGACACCTAACTTTTACCCCTTTTTACTCATAAAGTTCAACACGATATCTAAACGTCACCTTGGTCCATGTTGCAACCAGACCGTCCTTAGGATGACTTAAAGAATTGATGTGTCCAAAGATATTAAAAGGAGTTTTTTTTTTTTTTTTTTTTTTTGTTAGTTTTTAGCCTAATTGTCAGGTCCATTTGGTGAGTATTCGTCCCAAGATATGACTTTCATTGCTTAACCGTTAAAGTTTGGACTTGTTGTCCATAAGTTTGTGTTAACTCAATGTAAAGTGATTATCAGAACTTTAAGTAGCATAAAAAAAACTCTTATTTTATAGCACCACCTACGACACTTTCGTTATTTACCATAAAACATAATTAATTTTAGAAAATGGATACATAACTCTTATCCCATTTTACTGGTGAAGTTGAACACGATATCCAAATGTCATCTTGGTCAATATTGTCATTGGATAGTCCTTAGGATGGCTTAAAGAATTGTCTGATATATATATATATATATATATATATATATATATATATATATATATATATATATATATATATATATATATATATATATATATATATATATATATATATATATATATATATAAAACATGAATCCATAGCGTAACATGGATTTTTTTTGCTAGTTTATGATTAATATAACACCTATATAGTAAAAACTACCAAAAAGTTTCATTTGCAAACATATGGTACAAACCTATTACCGCTTAGAAATACGTTTCAACGACATAAGAAGAAGCAATGAATTAACAATAATATTAGGAGATAATGTAGATTTGTTTATTTAATCATAAATAGTTAATCTGCAAAATGAAAGATGTATTATTATTTATTTTCCTCAACCCACTTCGTCAATATCATAAACGTCAAACTCAATATCTGGATGTGCCCGTAGTGATAAATACGGACTCGAGGATTAATCATCTATGGCGAACATCCATCCATGAAACGTTAATTAAGTAAGTTTTATTATTTATTTTTGTTTTTCATATTATTTTTTTTTTATTTTTAATTTTTATATTCTGAAAAAATTCAAAATTTTTTTTTTTTATCATATATATTCTCTGTTTTTGTGGTTTATAATTTTACTTTTTGTTAATTTCTTTTTATATTAATTTTTCGTCTTCTATTTTTTCTTATTTTTCTAAAAATCTGATTGCTTTTTGTGTGTGTTTTAATGAATTTACTACATATTTGAAGTTACGGTGTTTTTTTTTATTTCTTCATTTTTTTAATTTTTGATTTTTTGTTTTTATGTTTTTAAACTAAATATTAGTTCGAGTTTGTAATATTTAACAATTATAAAAGTTTTATATAATAAAAATATTAGGCATCACAATATTTTTGGTTCATACTATTTTTGAGTCATAAAATTTTGAATCAAATTATTTTGTATCATAGTATAAAGATCATATCATTTTTAAATTATATGATTTTAGATTAATAATATATTTAATTAAATAATGTTCTTGTTAATTTTTTTGGATGATTATATATTCCGAATCTTTTAAGTTTACATAAAATATATATAATTAATGATCATAAAATATTTAAATCAAAATATTTATAGATCAGAAATTGGGATCACATATTTTTGCTGCAAAACCTTCCTGTGTACCTGTGCGATGGAGGAATACAATATTTATATGTTAATATTAACCACCACCCATCGCAACCACCATACATAACCACCACCCATCGCAACCACCATACAGCCACACATTTCTTTTTGCCTTAAAACTCTTTCGTGTACCGCCGACAGATGAATACAAATTCATATGTGAATGTAAAAGTAAGTATATTCTCGTATATTCCAAATCTTTGGCTTAAGCGCTCCAACGTATCGAGACGACTGAACAAATAGTATTCATTTATGAATAAATCTATTCATACATATATATATATATATATATATATATATATATATATATATATATATTCATTTATTCATATATAAATATATAAGTATATTCATATATGAATAAGTCTGTATTGTTTCACACGTGATTATTTATGTATAAGTATGGCGGTTGGTGCCGGAGGTGGTGGTGGCAGTGGCGGTGGTGGTGTCGGCGGGTGGCATATGTATTGGTGATGATGACATATATGAATAAGTATATATTCATATATATGTATATTCATATATGAAAAAATATGTGTATTCCTATGTGATTATTCATATATGAATATAACGGTTGGTGGTAGAGGTGATGGCAGTAGCAAGGGTAGCGACGGTTGTGGTAGTGGTGGTTGCTATGGCGAGGGTGATGAACACGATTATATACTTACCTGTATATTCAAATATGAATATTATATTCCTCAGTCATGCCGGTACGCGGGAGAGTATTACAGAAAAAAGAATGTGGTCCATATTTGTTCATGCGTTTTCAATTATATAATCGTTCTCATTTGAACCTAACTGTGTGTGTGTGTGTGTATATATATATATATATATATATATATATATATATATATATATATATATATATAT